ACCGCTCGGGTCCTCAGCTCCAGCAGTAGCTCCAACGTCCGAGTCCTCAGCACCAGCAGCAGCTCCACCACCCGGGTCCTCAGCACCAGCAGCAGCTCCACCGTCCGGGTCCTCAGCTCCAGCAGTAGCTCCAACGCCCGGGTCCTCAGCACCAGCAGCAGCGCCACCGCTCGGGTCCGCAGTACCAGCAGCAGCTCCAACGCCCGGGTCCTCAGCACCAGCAGCAGCCCCAACGCCCGGGTCCTCAGCACCAGTAGCAGTGCCACCCCCAAGGTCCGCAGCACCCGGAGGACCACTCCGAAGACTGCAGCGGCGTGTGTACCACTCTCGGATCTGCTGAATGGGGGGGAGCTCCTGGGTAGGAGGGGAAGTACCGGGACGAGCTCCAGCAGCACCTCTCCGGAGGCGGCAGTACTCGAGGTACCTCTCCTGCAGCTGCTGGGAGGAGAGGGCTCCTCCAGGTGTAGCACGCTCAGTCTCAGCACCCCCAGACTCAGCACCCCCAGACTCCGCACCCCCAGGCTCAGCACCTCCAGGCTCCGCACCGCCAGGCTCCGCACCTCCAGGCTCAACACCCCCAGGCTCCGCACCCCCAGACTCAGCACCCCCAGGCTCAGCACCCCCAGACGCAGGACGAGAGTCAACAGCTACCTCGACCGGCTCACCCGGGTCTACCTGGGACACACCTGAGGGAGCGGCACCCTGAGGGGGGAGGGGGTCTGGTACCTCAGCACCTGGAGCGAGGAAGAGAGGCGGGGGGGGGAGCGGGGCAGTGCGGTAGGGGAAGAGGCGGTAGTAGGGGACGGACTCGTCAAAAGTGACGTCCTGAGAGGCCAGGACACGACGCGAGGTGGGGTGGTAGAACTGCCAGCCAGGGGCGTCCGGGACAAAGCCAAGGAAGACGCAGGGGACAGCGCGACGGGAGAGCTTGTCCGCGGACGTGTCGCGGACAAAAGCTCGGGATCCCCAGACCCGAAAACGCGACGCATCGCCAGCCTCTCCCGTCCAACGCAGTGTCGGAGAAGTCTCGGGCAAGGAGACACGGGGCCAGAGGTTGAGCTGATGCGCAGCGTATCGGACCGCAAACGGCCACAGAAAATGGGGGGCAGCCGCATGACTCAAGGAGGTACGAGCGACCTCCATGACCAGACCAATGCGGCGCTCAGCAACCCCATTCTGCTGTGGAGAGGCCGGAAGCGTGAACGACTGCTCAATGCCCTCCTGCTGACAGAAGGCCTCCAGGAGGCCAGAGGAAAACTCCCCACCTCTGTCAGAGTGCAGACGCAGGACAGGAAAGTCGGAGCGGAAACGCCTGGTGAGCTGGAGACGAGATCTGCGGATCCAAGGGATCAAGACATCAGGTACGTCACCCTTGGCTCGCAAGGGGAAGACCGTGGTGTAGCGCGAGAAGTCGTCAACAACGAGCAGGAAGTACCGCTCCTGACCCTGTCCACGGACGCGGGCTGGGCCCCACACGTCCAAGTGGAGCGTCTGCAAGGGAGCAGTCGTCGGGGGAAAGGAGGAGGAGTGAGGAGCGGCGCGCTGCCGCCCCTCGACACAGGGAATACAGGGAGGAGCAGGCGAGTCGGGAAGGGGAGGGAGCACCCTGGGAAGACCAGCAACAAGGTCCCGTTTGTGCATGGTCCGAAGGCGCTGCACAGACGGGTGACCAAGGCGGTGGTGCCAAAGGACAGTCTCATGCGCCAGAGAGCGACACGAGCAGGGGGCGGACAGCTGACCTGACGCAGACGCAGACGTAGACGCAGACGCAGCTACCTGAGGGGACTCAGTGGTCAGTGTGTACAGGTCCGACCCCGGCTCTCGAGTGAAAGTAGCCAGGTGGCGACCCGTCCGAGCACATGTGCAGTGTGTCACGCGCTCGTAGGCAGGGGTGAACTGGTGAACACCCGAGTCCTGGAGCGCACAACCCGCCACCAAGTTCGTAGAGAACGAGGGGAGGTAGAGACCTGAAAGCGTGCCGGACGGGACCGCAGGACAAGGAAGAACAGTGGAGGAGGTCGCAATGACCGGACCCCCAGAGGGGTCAGCAAGGGAGACAGCAACTGGCCGAGCGAGTGGCTCAAGGACAGTGCGGTCACGAAAGAAAGAGCGAGAGGCACCTGAGTCCAGTGTGAAGGTGTGCAGTGCTGCAGTCAACTCAGTACCAGGGGGCACGGACGCACTAGCACCTAGGGCAGCAGCCTCACCAGGACCTGTGGGAGCAGACGCACTAGCACCTAGAGCGGCAGCCGGACTGGCCTGAATGCCCGGGTCGGGCGGAACACGCAAGTACTGAGCACCCTCTCCACTAATAGACATGGCATACATGGCAGTGAGAATAGTATCAAAGTCTAGAGCCCAAATATCAACACCCCTCTTTTCCAGATCAGCCCAGCGCGGCAGCTCAGCGGCATCAGGAAACTGGGTGCGCCACGCGTCGTTAAGGCGCGCGAAGCAGCGGTGCGTGGGGTGCGGCCTCCCACACTGCTGGCCGCTGCGGTCACCTGTGCGAATGACGTACGTGCAGGTAAAGCCACGCTGCGCATACCACTCACGGGCGGCCTGAAGCGTCGGGGCGGGCTGCTGACTCGGGCCTCCGCCAGTGCCTCCACGACCACCACCGCCACCACCACCGCCTCGGCCACCTCCACCCCTGCCGCCGCCACGACCACCTCCACCTCCGCTGCCGCCTCCACCCCTGCCACCGCTCCCGCCGCTGCTGTCTCCTCCCCCACTGCCGCCACTAGCCTCCCCAGTCGCGCCTCCACTCCCACCGCCTCCACCCCCACCTCCTCCGCCACCACCCCCACCCCTGCCTCCCTTGCTCCTGCGGCGCCCGCTCGAAGCAGACGCGGTCCCGACCTTCTCAGCACCAAGGAGGTCGACAGCAGCAGCAGAGGCGACAGAGGGGAGGAGGGGGGAAGGGGAACACCCCTCGAAGAAGGGGGTGCGGGGGTCGCCACGAGAGGTGCCTACAGCGACGATGCTCGCCTCAGCTGCAAGCAGTTCCTTCTCGAGGAGGGCAACAGTGAGCTCAGTGGGGGAGCGAGAGAGGAAGTGGTCCCTGACTGTGCGCAGAGAGTCAGGGAGGCGGGTGACGATGTGGTAGAGAGTGATCCAGAGCGGGGGGGGGTTGCTAGTGAGAAACTCGGCAGGCATAGCAGCGCGAAAGCGGGCCTCACTAGTCTTAAGGTGGGTGATGAGGTCTGCGACAGTGTGAAAGGAGGCTAGGTCGGGGAACAGGTAGGGGAGAGTGAGGCGGCCTAGCGTAGCAGAAGCGGGTGAGGAGTAACGGGCAACTACAGCGGTGTAGAGGTCCTTAGCAGTCTTGCACTGGCCGAAGTGCTCGCGCTCGTCTAGCGGCAGGGAGTTGCGAATAGCAAAGCGAGCGTGCGCATCACGAGTCTGCCACTGAGAGCGTAGAGTGCTGTCAGCAGACGTGTCAGGGGCAGTAGCATGGCCTAGGGCGTGGTCGTACAGCGAGATGTCTTCCTTGGCAGTAAGCTGGAGGAACAGGTGCAGGTCATCTAGCCAGGTTTCGAACTTCACCGGACGGCCCTCGGCATCGAAAGCTAGAACGGGAGGACTAGCCATAGTGACAGTAGTAGGAGTAGGAACTAGGCCGCTGGAAAGGTGTGCGTAGGGTCAACGGGGCCGGCGGGGCCGCTAGGTAAGGCGCGGGCGGGGTCGACTGTCCGTAGTGGCACACGAGCGGCAGTAGTAGGGAGCGTGGCAGCAGGAGCTGCAACGGCGCACTGGTGGCAGCGGCTGCGAGCGGTGCACAAGTAGCAGCGGCAGCAGCACTCGGGCAGCAGCGGCGTATGTGCACGAGCGGCAGCGACGCACGGGCAGCAGCGGCGCATGGGCAGCGGCAGCGTAGGGGCAGCGGCGGCGCACGGGCAGCGGCGGCGCACGGGCGGCAGCAGTGCACGTGCGGCGACGGCAGGAGGCGGCGGTGCGCAAGCAGCAGCGGAAGCAGCGCACGGGCGGCAGCTGCGTATGCGCACGTGCGGCAGTGGGGGCGGCTGCGGGCAGCGGGGCGTGCGCGAGCAGGCGACGGGCGGCTGCGGGGCGTGCGCGAGCAGGCGACGGGCGGCTGCGGGGCGTGCGCGAGCAGGCGACGGGCGGCTGCGGACGGGCGGCCTCTGCGACGGCGGGCTGCGGGCCTGCGGGGCGTGCGCGAGCAGGCGACGGGCGGCTGCAGCAGCGGGTGCGTCAGCGTGGCGCACAGGGCAGCGGCGGCCAGTGGGCGAGGCCACGAGGCGCACGGGCAGCAGCGCAAAGGCGCGCGGGCAGCGGGGAGGCAGCGTGACGGGCCGCGCGCGAAGAAAATAAAGCGCGCGCGGGCAGCTGGCGGGGCGCACGCGTGAAAACGGCCGCGCGCGAGCGGCTAGTACGGCGCGCGCGGTAAAAAAAAAAGGAAAGCCACGCGCGGGCGGCTAGCGAGCTGCGTGCGCGTGGTAGGTAGGTAAGGAGCGCTCTAGGACGCGCAGGCGCACGAGGCGCACAGTAGGTAGGTAGGTAGGTAGGTAGGTGGGCCCTAAGAACAGTCCTAGCGACGGACCTGCTCTGAAACCATGTCAGTGATAACGGACTGGAATGGTGAACTAGAAAGGATTGTGAGTACAAATATGAAACCCTAATGTTGTGACCCCCCTATAGGCTAACCCACTACAGCCTACACAAACACAACACATATAATGTTTGACATCTCCCGCTTTCCATCACCCCGCCCCATTCTCCCGCTTTCCATCACCCCGCCCCATTCTCCCGCTTTCCATCACCCGCCCCATTCTCCCGCTTTCCATCACCCCGCCCCATTCTCCCGCTTTCCATCACCCAGCCCCATTCTCCCGCTTTCCATCACCCCGCCCCATTTTCCCGCTTTCCATCACCCCGCCCCATTCTCCCTCCTTCCATCACCATTCTCCCTCCGCCCTATTCTCCCTCCTTCTGGCTTTTGAGACACTTCCAGTGGCATGGAGAGCTTTGTAACGAGTTCAATTTAGAGAGAACGGAGAGCGTTGTGCAGACTGAGTGTGCAGTGGGTCGGAAGATAGTGCCAGGGCACACAAACTGGTGCCTGCCACATCACATAGTATGCACGTGTGGAGGAAGGGCATTAGAGGGGCCCGACACACCTTGTAGTTGGGATCTCGTTTCAAGGCTATTCCTTCCAATACTGATAGACTGCACTCACACATGCACGCACACACGCATACACACACATGCACCGCAAACACACGTGCACCGCACATACATGCACCAATGCACACACACAACAGGGGATAGAAATGGTTTCTTCACCTTCCAAGGAGAGCAAACACGTGCCACCAAGGCAATCAGGCTATTCTGCCAAGCAACAATCAACATGTCCTGCTACCATACCAGCAACAGCAAAGACACGTGGCAGCAAAAATGCGAGGCGGGCGGGCGGGAGACAGCAAGGGATGGGTCGGGGGGACTGACCTTCTAACGACGAGGGAGAAGTAAGCCGGCAGACGGAACTTGAAGTTGTACCTGGCACGCACAGCAGGAAGGGTGTACTCGGGTAGGGTTGAATGGGGAAGACCACATGACGACATGATGACATGGAACATTCAGCATTGGGCAGTATAGCACACACTGGCCTACATGGTTAGGCTGAGCCCACGTGGTTAGGCTGAGACCACATGGTTAGGCTGAGACCACATGGTTAGGCTGAGACCGCATGGTTAGGCTGAGACCGCATGGTTAGGCTGAGACCGCATGGTTAGGCTGAGACCACATGGTTAGGCTGAGACCGCATGGTTAGGCTGAGACCGCATGGTTAGGCTGAGACCGCATGGTTAGGCTGAGACCGAATAGTTAGGCTGAGACCGCATGGTTAGGCTGAGACCGCATGGTTAGGCTGAGACCGCATGGTTAGGCTGAGACCGCATGGTTAGGCTGAGACCGCATGGTTAGGCTGAGACCGCATGGTTAGGCTGAGACCGCATGGTTAGGCTGAGACCGCATGGTTAGGCTGAGACCGCATGGTTAGGCTGAGACCGCATGGTTAGGCTGAGACCGCATGGTTAGGCTGAGACCGCATGGTTAGGCTGAGACCACATGGTTAGGCTGAGACCGCATGGTTAGGCTGAGACCGCATGGTTAGGCTGAGACCGCATGGTTAGGCTGAGACCGAATAGTTAGGCTGAGACCGCATGGTTAGGCTGAGACCGCATGGTTAGGCTGAGACCGCATGGTTAGGCTGAGACCGCATGGTTAGGCTGAGACCGCATGGTTAGGCTGAGACCGCATGGTTAGGCTGAGACCGCATGGTTAGGCTGAGACCGCATGGTTAGGCTGAGACCGCATGGTTAGGCTGAGACCGCATGGTTAGGCTGAGACCGCATGGTTAGGCTGAGACCGCATGGTTAGGCTGAGACCCCTCATGGTTAGGCTGAGACCTCATGGTTAGGCTGAGACCGCATGGTTAGGCCGAGCCCACATGGTTAGGCCGAGACGGCATGGTTAGGCTGAGACCGCATGGTTAGGCTGAGACCGCATGGTTAGGCTGAGACCGCATGGTTAGGCTGAGACCGCATGGTTAGGCTGAGACCGCATGGTTAGGCTGAGACCGCATGGTTAGGCTGAGACCGCATGGTTAGGCTGAGACCGCATGGTTAGGCTGAGACCGCATGGTTAGGCTGAGACCGCATGGTTAGGCTGAGACCGCATGGTTAGGCTGAGACCGCATGGTTAGGCTGAACTCGCATGGTTAGGCTGAGACCGCATGGTTAGGCTGAGACCGCATGGTTAGGCTGAGACCGCATGGTTAGGCTGAGACCGCATGGTTAGGCTGAGACCGCATGGTTAGGCTGAGACCGCATGGTTAGGCTGAGACCGCATGGTTAGGCTGAGACCGCATGGTTAGGCTGAGACCGCATGGTTAGGCTGAGCCCGCATAGTTAGGCTAAGACCGCATGGTTAGGCTGAAACCGCAGGGTTAGGTTGAGACCGCATGGTTAGGCTGAGCCCGCATGGTTAGGCTGAGCCCGCATGGTTAGGCTGAGACCGCATGGTTAGGCTGAGACCGCATGGTTAGGCTGAGACCACATGGTTAGGCTGAGACCGCATGGTTAGGCTGAGACCGCATGGTTAGGCTGAGACCGCATGGTTAGGCTGAGACCGCATGGTTAGGCTGAGACCGCATGGTTAGGCTGAGACCGCATGGTTAGGCTGAACTCGCATGGTTAGGCTGAGACCGCATGGTTAGGCTGAGACCGCATGGTTAGGCTGAGACCGCATGGTTAGGCTGAGACCGCATGGTTAGGCTGAGACCGCATGGTTAGGCTGAGACCGCATGGTTAGGCTGAGACCGCATGGTTAGGCTGAGACCGCATGGTTAGGCTGAGACCGCATGGTTAGGCTGAGACCCCTCATGGTTAGGCTGAGACCTCATGGTTAGGCTGAGACCGCATGGTTAGGCCGAGCCCACATGGTTAGGCCGAGACGGCATGGTTAGGCTGAGACCACATGGTTAGGCTGAGACCGCATGGTTAGGCTGAGACCGCATGGTTAGGCTGAGACCGCATGGTTAGGCTGAGACCGCATGGTTAGGCTGAGACCGCATGGTTAGGCTGAGACCGCATGGTTAGGCTGAGACCGCATGGTTAGGCTGAGACCGCATGGTTAGGCTGAGACCGCATGGTTAGGCTGAGACCGCATGGTTAGGCTGAGACCGCATGGTTAGGCTGAACCCGCATGGTTAGGCTGAGCCCGCATGGTTAGGCTGAGACCGCATGGTTAGGCTGAGACCGCATGGTTAGGCTGAGACCGCATGGTTAGGCTGAGACCGCATGGTTAGGCTGAGACCGCATGGTTAGGCTGAGACCGCATGGTTAGGCTGAGACCGCATGGTTAGGCTGAGACCGCATGGTTAGGCTGAGACCGCATGGTTAGGCTGAGACCACATGGTTAGGCTGAGACCGCATGGTTAGGCTGAGACCGCATGGTTAGGCTGAGACCGCATGGTTAGGCTGAGACCGCATGGTTAGGCTGAGACCGCATGGTTAGGCTGAGACCGCATGGTTAGGCTGAGACCGCATGGTTAGGCTGAGACCGCATGGTTAGGCTGAGACCGCATGGTTAGGCTGAGACCGCATGGTTAGGCTGAGACCGCATGGTTAGGCTGAGACCCCTCATGGTTAGGCTGAGACCTCATGGTTAGGCTGAGACCGCATGGTTAGGCCGAGCCCACATGGTTAGGCCGAGACGGCATGGTTAGGCTGAGACCGCATGGTTAGGCTGAGACCGCATGGTTAGGCTGAGACCGCATGGTTAGGCTGAGACCGCATGGTTAGGCTGAGACCGCATGGTTAGGCTGAGACCGCATGGTTAGGCTGAGACCGCATGGTTAGGCTGAGACCGCATGGTTAGGCTGAGACCGCATGGTTAGGCTGAGACCGCATGGTTAGGCTGAGACCGCATGGTTAGGCTGAGACCGCATGGTTAGGCTGAACTCGCATGGTTAGGCTGAGACCGCATGGTTAGGCTGAGACCGCATGGTTAGGCTGAGACCGCATGGTTAGGCTGAGACCGCATGGTTAGGCTGAGACCGCATGGTTAGGCTGAGACCGCATGGTTAGGCTGAGACCGCATGGTTAGGCTGAGACCGCATGGTTAGGCTGAGACCGCATGGTTAGGCTGAGCCCGCATAGTTAGGCTAAGACCGCATGGTTAGGCTGAAACCGCAGGGTTAGGTTGAGACCGCATGGTTAGGCTGAGCCCGCATGGTTAGGCTGAGCCCGCATGGTTAGGCTGAGACCGCATGGTTAGGCTGAGACCGCATGGTTAGGCTGAGACCACATGGTTAGGCTGAGACCGCATGGTTAGGCTGAGACCGCATGGTTAGGCTGAGACCGCATGGTTAGGCTGAGACCGCATGGTTAGGCTGAGACCGCATGGTTAGGCTGAGACCGCATGGTTAGGCTGAACTCGCATGGTTAGGCTGAGACCGCATGGTTAGGCTGAGACCGCATGGTTAGGCTGAGACCGCATGGTTAGGCTGAGACCGCATGGTTAGGCTGAGACCGCATGGTTAGGCTGAGACCGCATGGTTAGGCTGAGACCGCATGGTTAGGCTGAGACCGCATGGTTAGGCTGAGACCGCATGGTTAGGCTGAGACCCCTCATGGTTAGGCTGAGACCTCATGGTTAGGCTGAGACCGCATGGTTAGGCCGAGCCCACATGGTTAGGCCGAGACGGCATGGTTAGGCTGAGACCACATGGTTAGGCTGAGACCGCATGGTTAGGCTGAGACCGCATGGTTAGGCTGAGACCGCATGGTTAGGCTGAGACCGCATGGTTAGGCTGAGACCGCATGGTTAGGCTGAGACCGCATGGTTAGGCTGAGACCGCATGGTTAGGCTGAGACCGCATGGTTAGGCTGAGACCGCATGGTTAGGCTGAGACCGCATGGTTAGGCTGAGACCGCATGGTTAGGCTGAACCCGCATGGTTAGGCTGAGCCCGCATGGTTAGGCTGAGACCGCATGGTTAGGCTGAGACCGCATGGTTAGGCTGAGACCGCATGGTTAGGCTGAGACCGCATGGTTAGGCTGAGACCGCATGGTTAGGCTGAGACCGCATGGTTAGGCTGAGACCGCATGGTTAGGCTGAGACCGCATGGTTAGGCTGAACCCGCATGGTTAGGCTGAGCCCGCATGGTTAGGCTGAGACCGCATGGTTAGGCTGAGACCGCATGGTTAGGCTGAGACCGCATGGTTAGGCTGAGACCGCATGGTTAGGCTGAGACCGCATGGTTAGGCTGAGACCGCATGGTTAGGCTGAGACCGCATGGTTAGGCTGAGACCGCATGGTTAGGCTGAGACCGCATGGTTAGGCTGAGACCGCATGGTTAGGCTGAGACCGCATGGTTAGGCTGAGACCGCATGGTTAGGCTGAGACCGCATGGTTAGGCTGAGACCGCAATGTTAGGCTGAGCCCACATGGTTAGGCTGAGACCGCATGGTTAGGCTGAGACCGCATGGTTAGGCTGAGACCGCATGGTTAGGCTGAGACCGCATGGTTAGGCTGAGACCGCATGGTTAGGCTGAGACCGCATGGTTAGGCTGAGACCGCATGGTTAGGCTGAGACCGCATGGTTAGGCTGAGACCGCATGGTTAGGCTGAGACCGCATGGTTAGGCTGAGACCGCATGGTTAGGCTGAGACCGCATGGTTAGGCTGAGACCGCATGGTTAGGCTGAGACCGCATGGTTAGGCTGAGACCGCATGGTTAGGCTGAGACCGCATGGTTAGGCTGAGCTCGCATGGTTAGGCTGAGACCGCATGGTTAGGCTGAGACCGCATGGTTAGGCTGAGACCGCATGGTTAGGCTGAGACCGCATGGTTAGGCTGAGACCGCATGGTTAGGCTGAGACCGCATGGTTAGGCTGAGACCGCATGGTTAGGCTGAGACCGCATGGTTAGGCTGAGACCGCATGGTTAGGCCGAGCCCACATGGTTAGGCTGAGACCGCATGGTTAGGCTGAGCCTACATGGTTAGGCCGAGACGGCATGGTTAGGCGGAGACCACATGGTTAGGCTGAGACCGCATGGTTAGGCTAAGCCCA